TACTCGGCCTGATTGATGCAATTCCAAATAAGAACGATGTAATACTGTTTGGAGTTCATTGACCTCCCTTATAAGAATGATTTGTGTTGACTTATTGATTTTAAAGTAATTTGTACCGTCCCTGCTTGGGCTCGCCAAATTTTTGTAACGTACTTTTATTTACTTGGTCGCTAAATTCTTGTAACACCCTTTATATACTTTACTTTATTTGGTTTTGATTTTGCGGTGGTGACTGTTCGGTTCAGACGTTACTTGTGGCTGCCCCCGGTATACTACCAACTCTAAACGGAATCTTAATTCACAACTGCAAATTCTAATTTACTAGATTTATTGACGTCACTGACGTCCCTATTTGGACGCCTACTTTATGACGACCCTTGACTACTAGTTTATCGGCAGCGGTGGCTGGCAACCGGCGGTGGTGAGTGACGTCACAGGAACGTACTCCGGATTGAATCTTTTTGTTCGGTTTTTGTCTCGGGCGCCAGTTTCCCAATCTCTTACGTGGGGGAAACTCCACGTGAAACCTACCCTCGGTTTAGAGTAAGTACTCGGGATAGCTACAGTGAAGAAAGTTTAATTCCAGGGGTCTGTTATATTTCTCTTAATTTTAATCAACGTAGTTCTCTGAGTGTAGTGTTATTTTACTTTTAAAATAAACGGTCTTATCAGTGTAGGTCACAGAAAGATAGTGCGACTTTTTTACTGATCGGAATTTATCAATCTTATCGGTGTTAAGAATGAATACAAACTGGAAATATATTTACTAGGTTTATTTTATATTTACAAGGCCTACGGAAATTTACACAAACAAACAAAAGTAAAATAGATTCTAATTACAATTATTATCACTAACAATCAGGAATATATAAATAATGTACAAGCGGTGTAATTAAAAATTAAAATAAATACGAAATTAGCACATAGTCAAATATCAGGACTCAAAAATCGGTACGGTACAAAACGGAGTCTTTGGCGTTTGGTTTATTTAAATAAACGGTCTAAGACTTTAAGAAGCGGTACGCCAAAATAATATTCGGTTTTAAATTTCGGTCGGTGCTAGAAAGGGAAAAATAAGGTTAATAAATTAGAGCAATAAATAATCAATAAATAAAATATCCCCAATGGTTCTGAAACAGAAAAATAATTACGGGTGACTCTAATTCTACAAATAAATATCGGCGGCAGTTTCTAGCAAAGCGACGGAAATTAAGCGGAAATGCGACCAGCCAGGAGAAAAAGCCAAGCAAAGCGGTTTAGATCAGGCACAAATAAGCAAACGGTAATCAGGAAAATGATGTTGTTGGTAAACAGGAGGCAAAGTCTGGACGAGGTGCGAGTTCAAATGCGGGGCGGCCGACAGACTTCTCCCGGAAGCGGTGGGTGGCCCAGCCAAACTTCGGGGGTCTATCCGTCGTTGCACAGCCGACACACAACGTCTTCTACTGGCGGTGGGTGGCCCAGCCAAACCAGCAGTTTCGGTTATTGTGCCCTACAGCGTTTATCTAGCTTGGGCGGTGGGTGGCCCAGCCAAACCTTCGCCGACAACGCTGCTGCTGTACACTTCGACACCTTCACGTCTTCTACTGGCGGTGGGTGGCCCAGCCAAACCAGCAGTGTCAGTAAAGGGGCTCACAACGTTTGTCGAACGAGGGCGGTGGGTGACCCAGCCAAACCGTCGCCGATAACGCTGCTGCCGTACGGACCTGCACTCAACGTCTTCCACTGGCGGTGGGTGGCCCAGCCAAACCAGCAGTTCGGTCGATGTGACTAACAACGTTCGTCGAACGAGGGCGGTGGGTGACCCAGCCAAACCTTCGCCGACAACGCCGTGGTCGTACTGTCTTGCCAGAGTTCAAAACGGCCAGACTTGTACCATAGCAGGACAAGTGAGAATAGGAAAATACAATTTGCTTACTTATTCCGGACGGTTGCTTCTGGCGGCTAACTCCTTGGGTCGGGTGGCGGTCTCTGGTCGGTCTTCAGGTCTTCGGGGTGGTCCTCGGGCTGGTGTTGGAACTGGAGCTCTTCGAGTTCTGGCAGCGAACTCCTTGGATCGGGTGGCGGTCTCTGGTCGGTGTTCAGGTCCTCGGGGTGGTCCTCAGGTTGGCGTTGGAGTTCTTCGAGTTCTGGCAGCGAACTGAGGATCTTCGTGCAGGAACGGTTGTTTTATTGCCTCAATCCCCCCTTGACTAGGCAGGAGTCGTGGTGGGATTATGCGCGCGGACCTCGACAGAGTGGGGCAAACGGACGGTTCGACTCGACTCGCGATTAATTGCTCTCACCCAATTAAACTAATTAAATAAATAACTGGCCCACGGCCTTGCATAAAACTGAAAATTAATACCGGTTCATTACAAATTAATTACATGTTCTGCACATATATTTTCTCACATATATCTTATTTCAATAATTTTAGTTTTTGAATTTACCGCCAATCCCCTCATGCCGAGATCTACTGGGCAAGCATTTAAATTTTAATGTTACATATATTTTATTTCTTTTGTTAACAATTAATTTTGAATTTACCGCCTATTCTATTAAACTATTTTCCTAAATAGCATAAAATTCTTCTAGTAATTACATTTTTTATTAGATAGACAATACCCGCGCCATCTACTTGCAGCGCCATATTGGCTACGTAATAAAAGATCGAAATAACTTGATATTATGCATCAGAAAGTGCTGGGGACTATTATCTCTTGCAAACAGTAACGGATAATAAAAATCCCGTATACAATACGATTATTTCTGGGACGTATTGCGAGAAGAGTTGTTCCTGGATATTGCTTGCTGGGTATCTCAGGAATTCTACATGAAATGCGGTAAAATAATTGAAGAATATTTCGTAAACGAATTCAAGGTCAAGTACCAACACGATAATGAAGCCGGGAATATTAAANTAGTAGTTATCATAAAAAAAATAGGAAGCAGAAATTTTTTAAGCATCTAGCTTCCTTTCTTTTTTTCCTGATCTCGAAAATTATGAACAAACGAAATATTATGATAACTGTATGTAGGAATATTCTTCAAGTGTTTAATTAACATTTTGAGCCAGGTTGTGTGGGTCGTCCACCGTATTTAAAAAACACACGGGCATAGAAAGTTTCTGCTTCTCATGTTTCTATTATAACTATCATTCTGGCTTATGCCACACTGCGTAAAATTTCAAATACTAAAATTAAAATAAAAAACCTACCTGACCTTGTTTGTTTTTTTTTTAAAGAAACTTTATTGTTAATTCATAATAAATATTGTTTATCAACCAATTGTGCATTTTAATGAAATATTTGAAGAATATTTCTACATATATATAAGTGTTTATTATAATATTTCATTTGTTCATAATTTTCGAGATGAAAAAAATAATAAAAAACTATATGGTGCGTTTTGAAAAAAAAAATGTCAAGCGACCGACTCGAACCAGCCATCTGGTAACTGTCAGTCTCGAACGCTACCAATTACACCACGCTCCTAGTTGAAGAATGCGTCACATCTAGTGGATTTAGCTGTCAGGTAAAACTTCAAAATCGATTATCTCGGTAATTTATGAACGTTGCATCGAACTACTTCAAAAAATTCTTATTCAAGGTCCAAACTACACGTACCATAAATATCAAAAATTACAAAAATCCGACTACCTTATAGTCCGGGAGGCAGCGATAGAAATTTTGCATCAATTCCTACAAAGCTGATTTTTTCTTATTTTGTTGTTTTGATATCGCAAGTAAACGGAACGGCAGTCTACCGCGCCAATGTGGGGGCAAACATTAGTAACAATGCTTGACACATGTAAATAAATAATACGTAAATGTTATGTCATAAATGTCTTATGTCAAGTGTGAAACTTTGTAGAGTGAACAATTATACCTAAAAATACAGTATAATGATAGTCTACTGCGTCGGAAGCGGGGCCATCAAGGGTCTACCACTCACGGAAGGTGTTGAAAAATTAACTTTTTTGACTTATTTCTACAAGGCTAATTTTTTTTCTCAAATACTTAGTTTATAAGAGAACCAGAAGAAACAGTCTACCGATCATCTAAGGGTGTAAAGCCTTGATAAACGGAATGGAATGCACTATCTCCCGAGGGCAGTCGCTGCGCCAATCCGCTATAAATCGCTGCGCTCTGAATAATTATTAATTAGTCATGTCAGGATTAAATTAAAATCTACAAAGTTGTTTTTTTGTCTATAAGTAGTTTACGATAATTGTCGTCAAGTAAACGTTTTCTACCTTCGATACAAATTGGCTAAAGTTTCGGTAGACGTGGCTAAAATTTTTGCGCGCGAAGTTGTTTAAAATTCCTAATTCAAATAATTATAATTTTTTGAACTTGCACCATTATTAAAACGGACGATATTAGTAATAACGAGCGAGCGTTAGCGAGCGAGATTTTTGCTATACAAAAAAAACAGAATATGTTGAAACCTGGTAATTTACTGAATTTACAATAAAATTGGAAAAAACTTGAAAGTGGAGTTATGTAACTTGAAGTGTTCTGAAAATACTACAAAGTACTAAGAAAAAAATTATCAATAATTATGAAACTATGCCTTTTTGTTTGGCAATTTAGTACAATAATTCACTAATGGTAGTTTGTTGTGCGTTTATTTTAAGGATTTAGATTTAACTGATACAACGACTAACCTTGAAACCGATATAAAAGTAAGGAAATGATCTGGTGACACACCGGAAAGGAATATAGAACAATCATAGATAGAAGAACGGAACGCCAAGGAAATTTAAAAAGAGGTTAAATGACAACTGCCAAGTTAACTTTTGTTTTGCTAATTTTTCACGATCAGGATTGTGGCAGAATTTTCATGATTTTCGATAATAAAATAACAACGAAATACTGAAACATATACTAGTTTAAAATTAAAAATACTGAATACTATAGACTAAATTCAAAAGATCAAGAAGGGATGAAACCCCGGAAAGGACAGAGCCGAGACAAACATGGGAGCAGGTATAAAATCTTTTGAATACCCTGAAAATGATCAGACACAACAACCCGTTGATCCACAGAGGCTTCTGGACGCAGGGTGAGTCGAAATGTTTCTGTCTGTTTCAGGACCGCCAGGATCAAGAACCAAAAACGACGACATACATACACACACCTCCTCCCTACTTTCCTTCCCCCCCCCCAATAGCCAATAAAATCATCGACATTATTTTGTTATTTAATTTTAAAAAACATACAACAAAACATTTTATAAATAATAATATAGGATTGAATAATAAATAATTATGAAATTAATGTATTGCAGCTGTTTATAATAAATATTGTATCTCCTTAATATTGCAATAGTTTGAAAGCAGCAGTCCTTTCAATAAAGTTCCCGCGCAAAAACTTTAGCCACGTCTGCCGAAGCTTTAGCCACCTTGTATCGAAGATACGTTTATTGACAATAATTATTGCAAACTACCTATAGACAGAAAAGCAACTTTGTAGATTTTAATTTAATCCCGGTATGAGTTATTATTCAGAGCGACTTACAGCGGATTGGTGTAACGACTGCGCTCGGGAGATCGTGCATTACATTGCGTCTATCAAGGCTTTGCACCCTTAGATAATCGGTAGACTGTTTTCTTTGGTTCTCTTATAAACTAAAGTATTTGAGAAAAAAAATTAGCCTTGTAGCAATAAATGAAAAAAGTTTATTTTTTTAACACCTTCCGTCAGTGGTAGACCCTTAATGGCCCCGTTTCCGCCGCGGTAGACTATCATTATACTGTATTTTTAGGTATAATTGATCACTCTACAAAGTTTCACATTTGTCATAAGACATTTATGACATGACATTTACGTATTATTTATTTACATGTTTCAAACTAATGTTTGCCTCCACATTGGCGCGGTAGACTGCTGTTCCGTTTACTTGCGATATCAAAACAACAAAATGAGAAAAAATCAGCTTTGTAGGAATAATTACATCAATAGTGTCGCTGCCTCCCGGGCTATAATTATACGTGTTTAAAATTATGTAAAAATTTAAATTTTGTCACATGA